TTCTTTCCTCTCTCCTCTTCCCTTCCCCGTTCGCTCTTTACGCTGCCAATCGTCAGAGATTAGCATATCCAAAAAACCATCGATCATACAAATTCACGCGGAGACACTTGGCCTGACCTCCATCGGTATCATCTTATCTCTGGTGATCTCTTCCCTGAAGCCCGTGTCATCTCAATTCTCGATTCAAAGAATTCCGGGGTCTCGTATGGTTCGGCTAATAAAATCATCCGCATCGAGACTGGAAATTATCTGACGAATTCATCTGCTTATCGAGCAATAAAACGCCGCGGTCGTCCCGATGCCGATGCTATCTCTCCTTCGTTTTTTTTATCCCTCTCTTTCTCGCGTAGGTAGATACATAGGTGCCTAGACACATTGTGGCGCCATGCGAACCAAACTCTTTCCAGTTTGTATATATATCCCTCCTTCCCCTCCCGTTTCTTGCTCATTTTTTTGTTCATTCAATACGCTTCACGAGATATTCCTTAAGTTCAGGGAGGCCGGTTAAATAAGAACCTTGTATCCGCTATAATATATCTATAATTCACTGAAGGAACGATTGTTATAATCTTACTTAGGAATCTTGGAGCCGAGATTTTTCGTCCATCATTATTCGTATCGTATGAAAGAGAAAAGGAGAGAAGGGAAGAGATGTATGTATTAAATGAAAAAAATTTTTATTTGTCATCAGTAGAATTTATTAATTAATATCGTCTATGTTTCTCTTCAGTCATGGTTTAGATAAGAAATCTCTCATTAAAGCACGAGACTCAAATGTATCGATACACAAATAATTAATATATAAATAATTTGGATACATATAGATGTTAATTGCAAGAATATCAATTGTTATATTTTTAAAAGATATAAGGAAATTATTCAAAATGTCTGTTTTGTGTTACATTTTTAAAGAGAATAGTATAGGATCCATCTAATGCAGGAATTTATTTATATATTTGAAATAAGTAAGACGACACACATTTAAATATACTTGTCTTGTATAATATATATATTTTTTTTCGCATTATTATGTTTAAAACAATTATAATATAATACAATTCGCGACATTTTTTTCGCTATCGACATTAAGCATGTACACGATGGAAATAATAATTATTACAATAAATGCTACACTTATATCATCCTTATTATCCTTATCATCTTTTAGATCTTTTCAATATACAGAATATCACACATAAAACTTACTTAAGTATCTTACATTGAACACTTACTCCTTCATAGTTCGCGCGTGTTCATATTTTTAATTTTATATATGTACAAGATTTAATTACATGTTCTCTGTCTTTCACACACCCCACACGCACACACACACACATACACACTCACTCTCTCTCTCTCTCTTCACACACATACTCGTGTTCCTAAAAATAAAGCAGTAAAAATTAATCAGTTTTATTTCTTTTTGTTTACGTTACAAGCGTAGTCTATCGCTAGATTCGAATAATACAAGAAGCATAAGATACAAGGAATCGTTGATTTATAAATGAATAAATGTGGGACTATGTGACTTGCGCTATTATTTGGCGATTATAATAAATTGAGGCACGAGCGTGACGCGTATATTTCTATACGTTTATATTTGATCAATTATTTTGTATCGGAAGATTAATTTTCAAAATGCCTTGCGTTTTGCAATAATTGGCTTCTAAACAGCCTTCTCACATGGCATACTTTAAGTAATGCTAATGTGGGCAGTACTGTAAGTTCGATAATTTATAATTAAAAAAAATTATAACAATATTTTAATATATTATTATATTATTCTGAAAAATATGTCTCAACATCAGATAAAATATGCAATAAAAAATAACACGATTTCTATTCAAAGAAATCAAAATGATCGTTGCATGATTTTCATAAAGACTCGAATAATACTATCATTTGATGCATCATTTGAAGCCTTACTACTTTTGTTCAAATATTCTTGTTCTGAAATTCATTTTCTAAATTTTTGAATAAAAGTAATATGATGTAATAATTATATAATAATAATATAATATAATAATGAAAAAATATAAAAAAACATGCAATAATATTAATGTATACATGTATCGAGGATCTATCACAAAAAGACGTAAGTCCAAAATCGTAATTTTATAGGAATGAGAAAAAACATTATAAAATTCGAATTTTATAGATATAATTTCTATAAGTTTTGAATGAAAAAGCATTAGGAGTACTAATATCTCATTTAATATTTTATTTTTCGTAAGGAAATATGTAATATCTTAATTTATCTTTTTTCATAAAATTAGAGATATTATTCTTCTATGTGAAACTCATGATACTGAATATAAATACGTAATAATTTTAAAGTAGAAATAATTTTTAAAGTAGAAATAAAATGATTAAGTGACCAGAATTCTGTGTTATCAGCGTCATGTAATTTTAATGCTATCTTAAATTTTATCTAATACTATTATCTAATAATTATATCTTAAATTATATCTAATAATTATATCTAATAATATTCTATCATATCTATATTTATTTAATGATTATCTTAAATTATATCTAATAATATTTTAAATTATAAGGATGCCCATTATTATGTCAGTTGGTTAGAGCGTCTTGCTAATAATATCTTAATTTATTATATTTTAATAAGTCTAAACTCCTGAGTTTTTAAGAAATTTACAAATTGATATTCATCAAAATGTCATAAGATCAATGAAAGTTAATCAATGAGTGTTAAGATCATTGAAAAACATACTTCAAACCAAGATTATTTTGTTTCAAAACGGATAACTTTTATGTATATTTTTACGTATATATTTTCTGGCTTTCGAAATTTTAAGGTTATTTTCATTTTTGAGATAGAATTTTATGAGATAGGTTTTTTTTTAATTTTTCATATTGATTCTTGGATCTCTCCGCATATACAAGTATTAAAATATTTAATAATATTTCATAATATCCATATGTGAAATACATTACTAATATGTATTATATTAAAATATTATTAATAATAATACTATATTTAATCATATTATATATTAATAATAGAGTATTACATATACTTACATATTATACATGAAATGATTTCACATACTTATTTCTTAAAATAAGAATACTATACTTGTTGTGCACATATAATATATATAAATTTATATTTATATATTTTTAATTATTTATCTATTTATTTATGCATTATTTGTTTATTTCTGTTTTGTAATTCTAGTCTACACAAACATAATTCTTTTTAATAATAATTCTAATTAATAAACTGAAATTCACGTTATATAATATATTGAAAAAATATATAACTTATTATTTTGTAACTTATGTAAATATTTTAGATATTTATTTGTTTATATATAAAACATTTATAATTTGATTTTTAACGTGCTTCTTGATGTGTGCTTGTTTTTGGATTTTCCGGTAAGTTTTCGTGATTTGCATCCATTATTTCTACTATCTTTTTGTTTGTCTGATTTCAATTTCACTTTCTAAGTACACAATGTGAACGGTTATGATACAATTATGATACAATTTCGTATCACCGATATTTTTGTTACTTATGAGTATTGACTTTCATTTGGTTGACACCTTTTGAGGATTTACCGCGATCAGGGATCCGTGCGTGCTTCTGAATTTAAGATGTATTGATTACTAAGATCGGTACTTTTCACATTTTTGTATTTTTTGCTAAGAATCCAAAAGTGTGATCGAAACGTACAAATAAAATTTTTTTAAATTATAAAAATTAGATATTGCGCTTGTGTTATCAAACTGGCTCTTTTTTCATCTATTTATATCATGTTTATACATACACTTTTTCTGTAATTAATTTCATGTATAAAATAATAAATTATTAATTTTTTTATTATGATTTTAATACCTTTATATGGGAGATATTAAGGAGAATTGATGTAATCCTTTTTATTAAAGAAAAAGTAGTATGTTAATTCTATCTAAAAAATAAAATCACCTTAAATCTCGAAAATATTTCATGTATATATATAATATATAATACATAATTATACATAATTAACTATATAATATTAGATCTGTTCATTTTATTTGTGTTTTCTAAATCCAAGTTCTTCGTTCTTTCTTTCTTTCTATTTGCCTATCAACAAATGTCCAAACACATTCATCTCATTTCAAATATAAAAAGTTTTAAAAAATACAAGCAAGACGAACTGACATATATCTCTCAAAACATGGTATATTTGAAAAATATTTTTTAAGACTTCCTTGATAATATATATTAAGAAGTATATTAAGTTAAAAAATTAAAAGTAAAAAATTAAAAGTAAGAGATCATGAATTTTTTATCGAAATATTTTGAAATAAATTAGTTTTTTATAATACGACCATTAATAAAATATACTACAAATTCTTTTTGATTCATGGATTTAAAAGAATAAAATTAATAAATAGCTATCCCGATCAATGGGAAATATTTACATAGAAGTAAAATATTTACATAGCTTCAAATATATTTTATTTGATCTTAAATTCGTAATCTTCCTCAGAATCAATGATGATCAATGAGGATCAACTAGGCTATATGATGCATCATATATGAACAAACTCGAAGGAAGTTATTTTTAGGCTCAATTTTACAACAACAAAATATAACTCAAATTAAAATTTTTATTAGTAAAATTGCTTCAGGTTATTTTTTTGCAACTTTGTGCGAGAGCATTAAATTAAAATATATTTAGAAATAAGTTTTATTCTTTCCACTTTGTATAACAAGAAGTATTAGAGGTATTTTTGTTAAACTCTGATAATATATATGTATTATTCTTTTTCGATTGAAAAATATTTTTAATTTAAAATTATTTTTGAATCAAAGTAAATGACATAATTGTAATTATGAAAAGTAATGATAATAATAAGAATGAGAATCTTTTATAAAAAAAATGAGAATTAGACATTTTTCACAAATTTATAGTTTTATAGATTTTGTTGTACTCATTATAAGCTTAAAATTGAATCATGTTTGATTGAATATAAAATTGGGCCCATTTTAGTTATCCTTTTCTTTTTTTATCTATTGTCGAGTAACTAAATTTTTTTCTCGAAAGACCATTCGATTTTGACTCGGTGATTGTCATTCGAATTTATTTTCGTGAAAACATTTTCAGCAAGGCATTTTGTTTCATATATCTCATATTATATCATCATCATATATCTCGTATTAAGAAATATGAGAAGAGATAAAGATGGGAAAAGACATCATTATCGATTTTCACGAGCGAGGAAAAATGTCTGCGACTATATCGAGTTCAATCCTCTCGATTATCAGACAAGCATCATTTTATTTAGCGCACATCTATTCCTTTGCCTAGATCTCTTCCCTTTTATATAGTTTCGCTATTTTCTTGGCCGTATATTCGTGCATTATTCGCAAGAACGGTCCACCATAAAAAACGGAACGAGACACAGCCAACATACACATCTCCAAATTCACTGAAATCCACTTCGCGCCAAAAATCTGAAAGCCTTCGGAGGCGAGCAAAAATTTGGGCGTCCTACTTTTGCGGAACTCAAATCTAGAGCCTACCGATTATTGAACCAACGTTTGAACGGAAACGTTTCGGAAACAAGTACTCGGAAACGAGTTCATCTCGTGCTCTGGACGTAGCTCTGCCTACATATTTGTTTACTATTTTATTGACTATTTCGACATTCATTCTTCAGTTAATAGGCAGCCGCTTGAGGATGTATTAGCTGATTGAAATGATGTCCAAGATGATGGGGGGGTGGTGGGCCCGGTAGGGGCCCCGGTTGAGGCCCGATCGTTGGCGTTTGACATACGTACCATTCCGCCAACTCTGTTCCCCCGCGAATCGACGAGTGACTCGTGAGCGGTGGTGGGTTGGTTGCCGTTGTCGTCGGGACGGGAGGTGGTTGAGGCGATTCCGTGTGATCCGTTACCGATACGCTGCAAACGCTGCTGCTGCTTTCCTCGCCCTCGCTCTCATACATCCCCATTTTTCCTTCGCTGATCGTCACACCGTGTATCTGCGAGGAGAAAACGTCATCTTGCGTTAGAAATTGCGAAATGAACATTTTTTCCATCAGGTGGCTAATGAGTTTTTTACATAAATTATTATTCACCCGACAAAAATATTTATATTTTGCAATTATATATGTATATTATACATATGTATATTATACATATATAATTTTTTATCCTCCATATTCTTTACTCTATGGTATACAGAGTGTCCCAGACCAAACGTCCATTTTAAAATGAAAATAAACGGCTTTTATCAAAAATCGCGAACAATTTTTAATTCGGAAATACGCCATCCGGATCGGAAGTTGAATTTTTTTAGGTGGACATGGTACTTTTTATTACAGATTCGAATTGTACGTGAAAAAATAAGAAACTTTTGTACCAAACGTTTTTTCTGAAAATGTCTCTGTCAATCTTAAAATTGACGTTGAAAGTAACTGTGATGAAATAATGAACTTCAATTCGAATCTGTAATAAAAAGTCTCATGTTCCCTTAAAAAAATTCAACTTCCGATCCGGATGGCGTATTTCGGTCGGAATCAAAAGTTGAAAATATCACCATTTAATAGAGCATACCCGATTTACTTAAAAATTGTTCGCGATTTTTTATAAAAGCCATTTATTTTCATTTTAAAATGGATGTACGGGTGGTCTGGGACACCCTATATATATATATAGGATGTGTGTGTGTGTGTGTGTGTGTATATATATATAGGGTGTATCTTAAAAATGTCCCACTAAGCAAATAGCGTTATTCCTGATTAAAAGTCCAGAACCATTTTTTCCATAATGCTTAATAAAGCAGTAATTAATGAATAAAGTCGCGCCCATAAAAAGACAAACTTCCTCGTTATCAACATATGAAGATTTGGATAAGCAAAAAAATAAACAGTTTTGTGTTAATTTTTAAACAATTCATCTTTTCAGAAATCTTTTTAGTACTTAAATCTGATTAATTAATCTTGGGAAAAAAAATGGTTCAGGACTTTTCGACTCGGTTTTTAATCAGGAATAACGTTATTTGCTTAGTGGGAGGTTTTTAAGATACATCCTGTATATATTTATATTATTTATATTTATTTATTTATTTATTAACATATATTGTATTTTGTTAAAGGCTTGATGCTGAGATCGATCGTCTGGATATCGAGGTAGAGATCACGAGGAGATCAGCGAGGAGAGCAGCATCCTGGCGTAAAAGCCAAGACGAAGGCAACGGGGATCAAGAATTCGCTTTGGACCTTCTTTCATAATTCAGTGAGCAAATCTCGACAACCGTCTTCCCCGAATCACGTCTACGAAAATCGTCAAGTAGCAAGAGCGCCCCGTCAAAGGTAACATATCACGCATATATTTCGAAAATTAGCCTGTTTGCATGAATCTTCACCCTCTTCGTCTGTCTTTTCGCGCTGAAATAATTTCTTATTAACATTCCACGATTATTCGCGCGAGAAAAGACCACGTTGTAATCTTACGGACGGCTCACGATTTTGTTTCCACGATATTTTTTATTTCATGACAGTCTTTTTCTCTCTCTTCAAAACTTTTAAATAATGTATAGAGAAACAGAAAGAAAGAAACATATAGAAGAGCTCATCTTGATATGAATAGAATGTGATTAAGATTATCGTGGATGACTACGGGCAGAGCGGGTCAGAAAGTGCGATCGAAAAAAAAGTCTTCATGTGCGAAAATATAAATCGCGGACAAAATTTTTAGAATAAACATTTTTTTTTGTATCAAGTAGTGATACTTTTTTGATCAGTGAGTTTTGCATTTTTTTCATTCAATTTAACAAATTAATTTAATTTAATATGTGCAATTGGTTGTTCTAATGACATTCAAATCGAGAAGCATTATTTTTGTTAATGCAATTCTCATAATTCATACTGCATCCTATCTTAAATAATTATTTTGAAGATTTTTTTTAGTAGATTCTTTGCCTACTGAAAAGTCTTCAAAATAATTATTTAGAATAGAGCCTGTTCTTTTCACTATAAATGAGTATTATAATATTAAGCTTAAAAAAAAGTATACATTTTATAAATTTTCCAATTTTTTAAATCAATTTTCTTGGAAAAATTTTATAACCAAAGAAATTTTATATGGCAATATATTTATTTATATTAAATTATATGCATAAATGCATTGTTATATTTACTTATATATGATTTCTTTGTTTATGTTGTAAATATCGATATTTTTTGAGATAATACCTAAAAAAAAGAGAGATATCATCCGTACAATCGTTGCGAATCACGAAACATAAGAGTGGAAGCGTGGAATAAACATATATGTCATTATACACCCATTTCGTCTGTGTTTCTTCTTTCTATACTGATGATTATCTGTATTAGACGAAAAATGATCTCGATAAGGGAATATTTACTAATTGAAAGTACATATATTTTGAATTATAATTATTTATTCTATTTGCAAATTGATTTTATAAAAACGGAGCTTACAAATAAATCAGAATCTTTTGCGCGTAAATGAATTAAATTATGAATTATCTATCACAATAATTTGAATTATCTATCACAATAATCATAAGGAAGAATCTTACGATAATCATAAGGAAGAATCTTACGATGGCGACATAGTTTGGGATCTCCTACCACACTCCGTCATCTTAAATAAAAAAATTATAAAAAATCTTGCAGAGATTTCATATGTGAAATGAAATTTTTGAATATATTTATATCACGTGCGAAACACAGACAATTAGAAGACATAAATTAAATTATAAATAGCGCATTCTCACATCGACTATGACTTAGCATTCATACGTATACGATTATGTTAAGAGTGATATACCTTCATATGTTTACGTAGCGAACTTGGATGAGTATAGGATTTATCGCAGCTCGGTTGCCGACAAACGTAAGGTTTGTCCGATGTGTGGACATGACTATGTTTCTTCCGATCGCTGCTATTCGCAAACCTTCTGTCGCAGCCCGGAAATTCGCACTTAAAGGGCTTCTCGCCTGAAAAAAAGGGATGGCAGCAATATAGATTAAATAACATTCCAATTAAATATAACATAGCATTTAACAAGGCGAGAGATATAAACGTAAAATATAAAATCGAGAAGAATTTAATAAATAAATCAAATTGATATTAATTAACAATATTAATTAAATATATTAATAAACAAAATTAAATATAAATTAAATATTAGTTATATTAAATATAAAGTAATATTAGTTATATTAAATATAAAGTAATATTACATATAAATTAATAATTAGTAAATATATTAATTAATAAGAATATCGAGATACACAAAATAATGAAGAATCAGGATAATCAGACGTGTTGCAGAGGCGATCAATTGAAATAGAGAGGTGTCAATTCGCACGGGTACGTAGCTGTCGGTAATTAAAAGGCGGTAACGCAAACGCGCACGTTACAGAAAGCCTCATCTTGATTATAGTGTATCTTGATGAGTGGCGCGGCGCAACTCCTTTCGATGGCTTCTCTTGGCTTGGGCCACGCAAAGAGGAGAAGAGAGATATCGAGAGATAAGGTCCCCTGCACACGAATGGCCGCCGTAGTCGGGGCGCAACGAGACCGCGCGCGCGGTGGCGTGACTCTTATTTATTTCCAACGGAAGTTGACTGGAATATATTTTACCGTGTCGGTCCGCACCCCCGCATTCTACTCCCTCTTCCGGAGCTTCCTCTTTCTGGCGCTCTCGAGAAGAGCGGAGACGCGCGAACAGGAAGCGCGAACTTGGCGGATTTTTTATGGGAAAAATGGCGACCGGACTCTCTCTCTCTCTCTCCTTCTCTCTCCATCTTTCTCTTTCTTGCGCTCTCGTCCTTGGTCGAGTCGCGGCTAGAATTGGGAATATGTGTTACCGAAACACATAAAACCAAGACGAGTGCTAAGGGGAATAATTCTGCCAGCAGAATCTTTGTGGATCTTTGTGTATATCTCGGAATTTAAAATTAAAAAAGTTGACGCTCAAAATACTTCGAAAAAAATATAAAATTAAATAAATATAATATTAAAAAGATGATTAGATTTAGAAATTTATAATTTTTTATTACACTTTCTATTTTTTTAATTCATTATATTTCATGGTTTTTTGTATTTTATATTTTTCCCCTTCTTACAAAAGAGATAATTGTTTATTGTTAAAAATGAATTTTTGCATCAAATGCTAACATTTCATTCGAAATTTGCGAAATTTATCGTGCAATTGAAGTTTGTGTTTCTAGGGAAGTCTATTAATTTTACATGCATAATGATATTATGTCATTCGTTTTACGTGTGAAAAACATGTGATAAGATTACGAAGGCAAGAGTGACACGTACATATCGTGATACAGATTATATTCAAATCGTTCAACGGGCATCTGCGGCACGCGGGCATCATAAGTAGGTGTCTTAAATATTTATGAAGCCGTGGAGAGAGATAGCGGTTTTCACGCACGGTGTCACCTGTTATCTCAAACGACTCTGCTGTAACTCCATTTCATTTTCCTTTCCTTATTCGCTAAGGAGAGAAAACACCTCAATTCTCGGATTTTATGACATTTCGCTTATCTCGATTATCTCGCAAAATGTATTTGCACCGTGAAATATATTAAGATATATACATTAACGGTATTCAAGATATTTGTGAAGTGAATATTTATAAGCACTCATTTATAAGGATAAAAAAGAGTAGTAGTGATTACTTGGAATATTCAACAATAGAATTTAATAAAAAAAAGAAATGAGAAAAAGAATAAACATTTTTCGTGGCTGTTTTGACGTGAACAATTGCTTCAATTTTAAAAATCTATAATTCAAATTAAAAAATTGAACTATTTTAATGTGTTTTTATACATATTGAAGAAATATTTGTTATAATATTATTTTAAATATATTACATATATATTTCATGCTTTCAAATTGTATCATCATATCAAAATTTTCAATTAAACTTTTTTTGTAATTAAATACATTATTAGGATTTTTAACAATTTGTTCAAAATAGATCCAACACTTAATTCATAATCAACAACAAAATTTTTGAGGAATAAATATCCTAATGATCTCTTTTAATTACAACAAAATTTTAATCGAAAATTATTCAAAATTGTGACATGATGAAACAATTTGCGGAAAATATATGTGTGAAGAAAACCAAGGAAAATAATTATCTCTATTATTTTATAATTTCCGATTAAATGTATAATTCTCTCGGATAATTTGAATACACGACAATTTTACGACTCGAGCAGCGAATGACAGCGGCCGGGACATATTCGCGTGTCTCAATCTAGATCCCTGTTTCACAAAAGAATTGGCTCGACTTTTTGTGACCGGTCTCCACCCATCGATTCACACCTCCTCGAGAGGAACCCTCTCGTGCCGATCGAAAAAGGGGCACGTTCGCATCGTCGCGGCCAATGCGCCGTCGTCTGGTTAGCCAACAGCTCGCGTGAAAAGGAACCATCTCTAGGGAGAAGGAAGGGAAGGAGGAGGGCGAGAGAGGCACTCCTTTCCAAAACAGGACGATTAATAACTTTTCAAATCTGTCCCCGGCAGGGCCGGGGGGACCTTCGGTAGCGCGCGCGTTGGCAAATAAATAGCGGATAAATAAAAGCGCGCGCGTCTCTCCTACGTCGTTGCATTCTGTCGTGCGCGCGGGGTTGCGTGTGCAGATGGCAACAATATGCCGTGAAATATTGCCGGCGGTCAATGTGTGCTACCGCCGCGATATGCCACGCACACAGCGTCAACGTGGAACGAGGATGGCTTGAATATAGGGTGTCCCAAAAATCCTTTATACCTCCAATTTTAATAAAATTGCTCTTCGAGCAACTCGGTCTCTTTTCATTTTAATTAAGATGTATCGAAGCATCAGTAGTTTTCTAATCAATTTCAAACAGAGAGCTTTCTCGTCGAAGTGTTCGTCGGACTCTTCACAGAAAAAAACAGAAAAAAGTAGAATACACAGAAAAAAAAGAAGTGTCAAATAAAAATTTATATACTTAAACTAACGCGTTCATTGTTTCGTATATACGCAACAATTTCTAATCTTCTTAGAAGAATTTAATAATTTTAAATTTCAACAATATTATCGTCTTATTTTAATATTGTAATTGTCACCTCAGGAATATATAATTATTTAATTCTACTTTAAGAAAATTATAATCTTTGATTTAAAAATGTTATTTTCTATCCAACATTGTTTCTTTTCCATTCAAGAAAATTAAATCTTAAATCATGAGAATATATTTCTCTCGATTAAACTATATAAAATGGCAAAAAGTAATAAAGCTCTCTGTAAATTCAAAATTAAAGTGATCAATTAGCTCTCTACGCCTAATTGATCACTTTAATTTTTTATATAAAATGGCTTCATTCAAGTAAGCAATTATTCAAGCAATTATATTTTTCTTAAATCAACGCGATATAATCTCATGTCAAGATTCCCATGTCGAAACTAAATATATTTTCAAAAGAAGAATGTCCTTTTTTTCTGTGTAATCGGTGCAATCGAGTATAGGTGAGACTTTAATGAAATTTGAATGAATTTTGCGCAGACACAGTTTCGATTACGAGACATCTGAATTTCTCTTGAATGATTCTCTCTGAGAGAAAAAGAAGAGAGGCAGGAAATCGATTATAAAAATCCTCATTCGATCTTTCGAGACAGCCTGTATACAAGCGTTGTGCATGTACACGTATACTTGAAAGATAATCATTCGTGTATACATGTCGTTACGCACACACGTGTACGTGCACAGTCACAATACGAATTTGCGTGGCTCGAAATGTGTAGATACAGAGAATTCCGATTGTGTGTTGGGTTCGCATCCCCGGACACGCATACCTGCGCCAGACTTGAAATTCATGGTGCACCAGGTTACACGTCGTGATATAGCACAGCCAAAGGGGAACTATCGAGGCAGTTCCCGAGGAGCGTAGCGTAGGCACGGACTGTGTTATGACTTTCAGAATGGGGAGGCACAATGGCCCAGATCCGCGCCGGATAAAATAGTTATTATAATCGTTTTGGCTACGCGGGGCTGGAATCGACGAGCGATACACGCGCGAGCGAGCTCCGACGTCATGGACGTGCTAGATTTAGACACTATATTTCAGACTGTATTTTATATCGAGATATAGTGCTCACACAAAGGTACTTATATGACTGAATCGTAAAACAGAACTGTCAATTTTCAAAAGTTGAAAAATATTCTGCACATCTAATAAATGAAGTTTCGGGGAAAAAACGAGATTATTTAAGGCCAATTATTTATATCGTTATTTTTATATCGTTATTTTTTACAATGGGTATTTTGATGCAAGACTTTATAATTATAATAAAAAATGAAAGAAAAATATTAGAGAATTATTTTATATATGTGAATAAATTGAAATAATTTTATAGATCAAGTTACTTTGCGTCTCTCTTTTTGTGAGAATCGTTGTAAAAAAAATCACGTTTCTTAATTTTAAAATTGCCAGGCATTCTTAACAATAAAGTTTCAGGGAAAAAACGAGATTATTTAAGGCCAATTATTTATATCGTTATTTTTTACAATGGATGTTTTAATGCAAGACTTTATAATTATAATAAAAAATGAAAAAAAATATTAGAGAATTATTTTATATATGTGAATAAATTGAAATAATTTTATAGATCAAGTTACTTTGCGTCTCTCTTTTTGTGAGAATCGTTGTAAAAAAAATCACGTTTCTTAATTTTAAAATTGCCAGGCATTCTTAACAATAAAGTTTCAGGGAAAAAACGAGATTATTTAAGGCCAATTACTTATCGTTATTTTTTACAATGGATGTTTTGATGCAAGACTTTATAATTATAATAAAAAATGAAAGAAAAATATTAGAGAATTATTTTATATATGTGAATAAATTGAAATAATTTTATAGATCAAGTTACTTTGCGTCTCTCTTTTTGTGAGAACCGTTGTAAAAAAAATCACGTTTCTTAATTTTAAAATTGCCAGACATTCTTAAC